AAACACATTTAAAATATATAATACTACACACACACACACACACACACACACACACACACACACACACATAAAGGGGGGGGGGAAGGCCAGCCTGGTGTGGCCTGTGTCTGCTACCCCAGTGGTGGGGCAACAGGTGATGGAGGGAGACAGGGATCCCAAGTGCTTGCTAACCACCCAGTCTCAAAAACGAAAAAGGTTGCGAGCTGGTGAGCCAGCTCCACTGGTAAAGGCACCTACCACTCAAGCTCAGAGACCTGAGTTCAACCCCAGCTCCATGTGAAGACAGAAAGAGAAAACTGACTCCACGAAATTGGACCAGAGTTGGGCACAGCACTTTCTCACATCAGGAGCACCACTCACAACCACCTGCTACCATGCCCTCTGCTGGTCTCCATCGGCAACTGCACATACATGCACATACACACATACTCGCACATGGACACACAGATTGCCAAGAAAGTTAAACATGTTATACTGTCATAGAATGTGACAAACTAGAAAAAAGAAAACAAACCGGGCAGACTCAGCATGGCCTGGAACTGCTCTGATGATGGTCTTGAAATCCTCTTGTTGAGTCTGCCACTGCTAGAACTGCAGGTGTGCGGCCCACCATGTCTAGTTGGAAAATAGGGCTGTGGATTGGGATCGGAATAACGTAAACAGCAGATTTAAAGAGACGTCACACGGTAGCTAACCTCAGGTCTTCTACTAGATTAAGGAGCTGTTTTGCTAATCCACAGGCTTAGGCAACAGTGCTCTTAACACCCAGGCACTCACGGCACCAGGAGATATTTGTTGAGTCTTGTGACTGAGACACACAGGCTGCTCCCACTCAGGGCTGCCAACGCTGGAGTCTTCATCTTGACCGAGGCTCCAGCCTCCCCTCAGGACCTGAGGTACAGCAGGGCTGGCTTCCAGCTGGTGAGCCGCTGCGCCCGAAGCCTCTGTGGCCAGTAGTCTGCCACATCACCGTGGCTTTGCCTGCATTCACGCTGCCCATGGCACTGACCCCTGAGGTGTCCCCCATCTGTTCCTAGTCTCTTTTGCCTCAATGATGAGGAGTGGCCACAGCCCATCCCAGCAGCCACCTGCCTCCTTGGCCAAAGCCCAGGCCTGATTTTTTTATGCTTTTACCCTCCAGCCTCTGGGAACCCTTTCAGGAAGGATTCGGGGTGAGAAGGAAATAGGGGAACCCTGTCTAGGCAAGCTTATTTTTTCCGGCCAGGCTTGTCTGCTGCCTGCACAATCAATGCATAGACGACAAGTTCCTTGGCACCCGCCCAGCAGGGAGGCGACAGCTGCTCTTATGCCAGCGACCCTCAGGGGAGGATTGATAGACATGTCCCCGGAGAAACTGCTCAGAAGCCCTGGAGCTTGTGCCGTCCGTCCCCTGGCATACTCTCTGAAGATGGACGGACTCCCCTCTCTAGGTCTCTTCATTTGGAACTCGGGTAGGATGGCACCAGAGCCCTCAACTTTCCGGCTGCTCGCCTTGTCTGCTCTGCTGCCAAAGTCCAAGTGAACAGTCATAATGAAAGCTGCCGGTGAGCACGCTGCTTGCCTGCCTATTGGGGCTGGGAAGGAGGATGGGTAGACACTGACCACCTTCTGGGCAATATGCTCTCATGTGGTGGTATTGTGTTCCCCAAAATATTGTGTACTCTAATAAATTTATCTGGGGTCAGAGAACAGACAGCCACTAGATACAAAGGCTAGAAAATGGTGGCACTCACGCCTTTAATCCTAGCATTCCAGAGATAGAAATCCCTTTGGATCTCCGTGAGTTCAAGGCCACATTGGAAATAGCCAAGCATGGTGACACACGCCTTTAATCCCAGAAAGCCAGCCTTTAATCCCAGGGAGTGGTGGTAGACAGCAGAAAGATATATAAGGCGTGAGGACCAGAAACTAGAAGATTTTGGCTGGTTAAGCATTCAGGCTTTTGAGCAGTAATTTCAGCTGAGACCCATTCCGGATGAGGACTCAGAGGCCTCCAGTCTGAGGAGACAAGACCAGCTGAGGATCCGGCGAGGTGAGATAGCTGTGGCTTGTTCTGTCTCTCTGACCTTCCAGTATTCACCCCAATAACTGGCGGATTTGTTTTTATTAATAAGACTCTTTAAGATTCCTGCTACACTCTCATGATGTGCATCTTTCCATATGCCTTTACTCTTTCAGCAAGGGGTTGGCTCCTTCTCTCTCCCTCCTCCCTCCCTCCCTTCCTCCCTCCCTCCCTCCTTCCCTCTCCCCTTTCCTTTTTGGGAGGCCTCTTCTGTAGCCCAGGCTGGTCTTGAACTCAGGATTTTCCTACCTTAGCTTTGAGTCCCAGGATTAAAGGAATGAATCACAATGCTCAGCTTTGTTGTTTTGTTTTGTTTTCTCCCCCCACCCCCAAAGAGACAGGGTTTCTCTGTGTAGCCCTGGCTGTCCTAGAACTCGCTCTGTAGGCCATGCTGGCCTTCAACTCAGAGATCTGCCTTCCTCTGCCTCCTGAGTGCTGGGATTAAAGGCGTGTGCCACACCCAACTGCATTTTCCTGATTAATGACTGATGTAAAAGGGCCCAGGCCACTGTGGACAGTACTACCCATGGGCAACTGAGTGGGCCTGGATTGTATTAAACAAACAAACAAACAAACAAAATCAAGCTGAGCAAGCCACTAGGAGTTTTATGTCCTAGTGGCAAACAGTTCCAAAACTGGCTGAGGATGTAGTTCAGGTAAAGTGTTTGTCCAGCAGATAGAAAGCCCTGGGTTTGATTCCCAGCACTGCATACAACCAGGCATGGTGGCACACACCCTTAATTCCAGCACGTGAGAGGTGGGGACAGGGGATTCAGAAACTCAAGGTCATCCTCCACTACAGTGAGTTTAAAGCCAGCTTTATTGGTTGTAGTATTAAGGCCACTCCACGTAGTTAAAAAGGAGGTTTATTTTGTGAGGTAACTTACAAGTGAAGGGATAGTTTACAGGGTCTGGGAAAGGTGTAGCTCAGTCCAGCGGTCTTCTCTGGAAAACTCTGCTTGGTCTACCTCCAGCGTTCAGGATCCAGGAACCAAGAGAGCCAGCCCATCCGGATCTTGGGTCTTAAGGGCTCCTGTTTTGGCCCTGCCTTGTAGGTGTGACAGTTACCAAAGCCTCAATGGGGGTAGTACTTCCAGGTCAAAGGTGGAACAGCTACCCACTACACAGCTGGGCTATATGACACCCTACCTTAAAACAAAATAAAACACAAAACCAAACAAGAAAGCAAAAAACCAACAACCCAAGACCAAAAGACAGTAACTGATTATGACTAATTGAATGGGTATGGTTCTCCCATCCTAACTACAGGGCTTCCTTCACAGTGCATTTTATAGTCCAATGCAGTGGTTTTCAACCCATGGGTCTCGACCCTTTACAGGGATCACCTAAGACCATCTGCATATCAAATATTTACACTGTAATTCATAACAGTAGCAAAATTAGTTATGAAGTAGCAATGAAAATAATTTTATGCTTGGGGGTCACCACTTGAGGAACTGACTGCATTAAGGGGTCGAAGCATTAGGAAGGCTGAGAACCACTGCTCCGAGGTTTCCTAGAGCAGACGTAAGCAAGAAGCTGGAAAGGACCTTCAGAACAGTGGCTAAGCTAGTGACTGTACGAGGATGCTCCCAAGCAGTAGGCGATTTTCTGTAGCTGGGTGAGGGCCGGGTGACTTCCTGCAGGCTTGGGGATTGGCACCTGAATGGAAGGGCGTAGGAGATGGCGGCTACTGCCTTTCCAGCAGGCACAGAGACAAAACGGCCCTGGGAGTGACAGAAAAAACTGAGCTCCCGCAGCTGGGCTTGATCCAAAGCTGGGCACCGCAGTCAGCTCCTTGGGTTCTGCAGACAGACATCTTGCCTGTCAACATCATGTCCAGTGACTACTGATGGCCACCAGCTACCCTGCTGGTGACATCCAGTGTTCATGGCTACGAGCCCTTGGATGCATTAACCAAATGGTACTACATGCCTGCTAGCAGATGGAGCGACATCCATGCCAGCTTGGGCTAGCCCTGCAGGGAGTCCATGGGAAGAGGATGGGTGTCCCTCTCCCCCACTCAGTTTAATCAACATAAAAGAGCTGGGCACAAATTAGCCTCCACTCCTGGGATTATGTGATCATATTTTCTGTCCTTCTAAAATTTTGATTTTTAAATGTGTATGAGTGTTTTGCCTGCATGTATGTCTGTACCACATGAATGCCTTCTACTCCCAGGGGCTGGAAGTGTCAGATCCCCTGGGACTGGAGTTAGACAGTGAGTGCCATGTGGGTGCTGGGAATCTGACCTGGGTCAGTGCTCCTTTGTTGTTGTTTTTCAAGACAGGGTTTCTCTGTGTAGCCCTGGCTATCCTGGAACTTGCTCTGTAGACCAGGCTGGCCTAACTCAAGAGAGCTGCCTGCCTCTGCCTCCCACGTGCTGGGATTAAAGGCATGCGTGAGCCACCACCACTCGGCCCAGCCTGTGTCTCCAGCTCCACTTAGACTTGCTGGCATGCTATAATCCTTTCATTAACCCACTTCCTGTCCCAGTGTGCAACGTCTTGGGACAAAAGTCACCTGGTCATCACCTGCCCTGAAAGATGAGTACTTAGAAGAGATGCTGAGGCGAACCGAGGCCAAATGATAGTGTACTTGAGGCTTGGGGACATCACTATTTGCTGCTGTTTTTCTAATGCCGACAGAATGCTTCCCAGGCAGTATAGGCACTATGCACTGTGGGGTACCCTGGGGAGCCCTAGGAGCTTCTTCGAAGCTGGGGAGGGGAAGCCGAGGGGCCCACTGATGCTGTTGCCAGAGGCCCCAGCCAGTCCCATGGCAAGCTTTGGTGTTGGGGAGCCCTTCAGAGACCCAGAACCAGGGCAAAGGAGAATGGGCCTTGCATCTCCTCATTGGCTGAATGAAGGTTTCAGTCCTAAAACAGTGTGAGGCTGGGATAGTCACCCCCCAGGAGCCATTAACGATGACACCAACATCCTTTTAAATTATTTATTTTTCTGTATCTCAAATCACAGAATAGTATGATACAATTTTTCTCAAGCTCAACATATTCATTTCAGATGTTTCTTCTTTTACATTATGGACAAAGATGTGTGAATTGATGAAAAAAATCACTCAGAGCTTATTAAAACTAATGCTTCCTAGGCACACCCTGAGCGTCTGTCTGGAGTGGGTGCAGGGAGTGATTTAAATTTTAAATTGAAATTCCCTGTCTCTTCTGGGTAGGCGGTCCCTGAGCTACCCGTAGAGAAACACTGCTTAAGACTTGTTGGTTACCTACTGGAAGGCATTTCAAAAAACACAGAAATAAGTATACAGAAATAGCTCTTCTATAAAAAATTCCATACAAAAATAATAGTATTTATGCAAAGTTTGAGATACTACAAAATAATATATTAGCCTGTGTACTCAATCTAGGAAGGAAAATCTCTAATAGGCAGGCGAGATGTGGTTTGCATTTTCCTCCTATCTACTTAGGGCATGACACCAGCGTCTGCTTCATGCAGATAAAGAGCAAAGTCACACTTTTCTGGAGACAGTGGCGAGCAGCACATGAGCAGAGTGAAGCGTCTCCAAATGGAAAGGGAGCCACTGGGTGATGTAGGCCATCTCCCCACTTCTGTCCAGGTAAAGTGTGGCAGGGTAAACAGGGCACCCAGCTGCTTTACATCACTGATGGGGGGGGGTGTCCCCAGAACTCAGGCTAACAACCAGAGCAGGTGGAGGACTGGTCCCATTTCTCAGAATGTTGTCTTAGTACTAGTGGGAAACAGAACAGCACACAGTGGAGAAGCCACTTTCCTAGAGAAGTAGCTGGATCACTGGAGATACGTAAGTATGACAAAATAAAACTGACCTGAGGAGTGTGGACACGCAAAACTAGCACACTTTTTATATTCAGATGATGTCTGAGGAGGAGCAGTTAGTGAGTTTGAAGTCAAGTATGGCCAAGTGATGGCTTCTGAAAAGTCCAAATAATTTGGTTGGAAACGAGCCACTATGGCCCAGATGGCAACTCCACCTCTCAAGCCCCTACCAATGTCCAGAAGAAATGGCCCTGGCCTGGGGAGGGTCTCTTGTGACTGTGACCATCTGCAGCTAGAGTCCTGAGAGGCCCCAAGCTGACAGTGCATGATGGCGCTTGGGAGAAGAGATCCCTCGGGTCCCTCAGATTCTTTTGGCATTTGGCAAGACTGGAGTTGTCTGCATGGCCCTGGTGAAGGTGTGCTTTACAGTAGGTGATGATACCCTGACAGAAGTGACCGACTGGACCAGACTGCTACAGAGGCTAAGGGACGCTGGGCCATGAAGCTCTGCATACTTCCACCTCTGAGCGGATCCCAAGAGATGCTGTCTCCCTTTCTGAGACCCTAGTAGAGAAGACACAAAGCCGGACGGACTCTCCACTGTGGCTGCAATGGCTTCTAAGTAGCTTTCTAAGCAGGGAGGACCAAGATCCATTCTGGACGGACTCTCCACTGTGGCTGCAATGGCTTCTAAGTAGCTTTTTAAGCAGGGAGGACCAAGATCCATTCTGCTAGGATAAGAGACCAAGGCACTGGTTCTATAGGGTTTTTTGTTGTTGTTGTTTTTTAAATATAAAAACCGGTAACTTTCCTCCTGACTCAACACCATGAGGAGTGGCCACCTACCAGGTCAGTGCTGGCACCTGTCAGGGACTCCCAGGAAACATGACATGTCAAAGTTTTCTGTCCTTATCCCCCGCCCCCCCTTATGTTCATCTTGTGAACATAGATGAATGGGGGAAAACTGGGTCCTACAAACTAACTGTAACTTCAGGTATTTTGCTAATATGTAAGAGGCTACTTCCTGAGGCTTATTATAATTAATAAAGGCTTTTTAGCAATAAGAAGATTAAAGGAAGAATTGTCACATTAGGCTCCCCCTTTAGTGTTTGGCTCAAGTATAGGTTAACAAGACATAGGTGAACCGAATTAGTGAGCTGGAAGGCACATTCTGAGGGTCACTTAGGTGACATGCTGTAGGCTCCTGGCATGCATGTTAGTCTTCAAAAAACTATGTATTAATGAGCATTAGTGCTTGGAGGCAATTGTCCAAGGAGCAGAGAAATAGGACACCCCATTGGGAAGCTGGTTCTTAGGTGTCTAGTATTTCACCAAAGCCAGTCCATATGCATCATGAGGATCATTTCCCATGTGTTCAGTTCACAATCCACATCTTATGCATCTGCAACTGAATACATGTAAATTCTCCGTCTCAGATCACCGGCCTGTGGCGTAGGTTCAATTCAAGGTCATGAGGCTGACCCGAGAACTTTGTGGTCTTGCTATAGTCCTCACTTGGCCTGTTCATACTAAAGCCAGCTAAGTTTGGTATTTTAACACCCTCCCCGCAAAACAAACCCTGCCAATGCTTACCACTAAGGAGGAAAATTTCAAAGCCCCCTGCAGCAGATTTAGTGAATAAGGAAGTCCATTTTGTTGGGAAGTGAGCTTATAAAACCGACCAGGCTTCCTGCTCTGGTGTGGTTACAGTACAAGCAGCTGAGGCCATTCCTGTCACCTGCTTATTCTGTCTGTCTGTCTGACGCGCACACACACACACAACCTCTGTTTAGGCTGTCTCGGCATAAATCACACTGTACTTGTAACAGCTCCGCTGTTTCTGACAAGAAGTTGGTTTAGATTTAGAAAGCAGAATTAGGAAGCCATGCAGGGGTACGGTGGGCCATTTCTTCATCTGGATTATCTGACAGGGGTATTCTGAGGACAGTTGGGGATTATCTTCCAAAAATGACACAGTACTGCTACTGCCTTAATTATAAATTTTGCTAACAGGAGTTATCCTCATGCATTCTGACAAAATGGCCGATTTTTTTCTCCCTACCACTTCTTCAAAAGAATAGTAAGAAAGATGCAGAACACGTTCGCCATGAGCCCATTTTCTGGGGGACTATTTAGAGGGAGTAGATTCTGTTGAGTCCCTTTCTTCCTGTGTAAGGCACAATGCAAACACTGAACAGACTTCCTCGGGGGATAGGCGAAGGGAAACCTGCTGAGCACTGAGGGTCTGAGCGGCTGTGTAGCCTGGTGGAACTGTTCTTCTGGGAGTGTGCGGGCCCACAGCCAGCTGCCCATGTCATCAGGAGAGTGAGAACTGATTAACCACAGTGCTGCTATACACTTGAGAAATGGGACCTCAGGAGGGAAAGTCTCTTGAACACATAAGCACTGTGCATAGGGCTGTGTGCACGGAGCCTGTGTACCTCTCCCACAAAGAGGCCAGACGCTGTGTCCTCAATTTAACTTCCCCTTCCATTTTGATTCCGGCATTATGATTTGGTGTTATTGGACCCAGAGGGATGTGTTTAGGGGAGATAATGAAGACCAGAGTTCATCCTTTTCAACATCTCAATTTAGGCTCTTCCCTTTTTTCTTCCCCCCAGCATGATCTCATTTTGAAGCCCTAGCTGGCTTCAAACATCTGGGGACCCTTTTGCCTATGGAGGATTACAAGTAAGTGGTACCCGTCTCTGTTCAGTCTAGTTTCTCCCCAGGTAAAGTGTCACACCAGCAGCAACCGAGGACCACAGCGGTGCGATCTCAGACGTCCTCAGAAGTACGTAACAGAGGGACAGGACCACTCTTGACAACACAGTGGGAGCGGGGATGGCCAAAGGTGGGGCACACGAAGACTGAGTCTTTGGTTGTCCCACTCCAGACAAGGATCTCTTGTAGCCCAGACTGGCCTTTGAACTCAGTATGTAGCCAAGGTTGACTTTTAAGTCCTAACCTTTCTGCCTCCATTTCCAAATGCTGGCGTTAGAGGCATACAGCATGCCCAGCAGGACTGCCCTCCCTTTTAAAGCCCGTGTTCTGTCAATGTAAAGCATACAGCAGCAGGGATGAGATAAACTGGAAAGTTCCTTGAGAACTCTTGCAAGGATTTTGCTGCCTGGTAAAGGGTGTAATGCATGCATTTGCTTTAAGTTCTGAAAAATCTTAGGCCCCCAGTAGCTCAATATTTTGAAGACTAAAAAAGCAACTGTTACCTTTGACCTCTCCAGGTCTCTGCTAGGCTCCCTTAAGTACAGACAGAAATGGTAGTGATAAAAGGAGGTAGCCCCTGTTGCATTCTGGATCACTTTGTTCTGACAGCCTAAGATGTGTGTTCTAGAACTCATGCCAACACAAAACTCTGAAACCTGACAGGACCTTTGTGCCCCTTGAACACTCGGGCTTGTACTACAGCTTCCTCCTGACACTGAGTTTCCTCTCCAAGGCATCTGAGCTGGACCTGTGCATTCCTATCAGTGTTAATGACCTCAGAACATGTAAGGCAACCAAAGCTTTTCCTTCTCGCTCAAGCTTCCTGCACAGGACTAAAAAGAGCAGCATTTGGATTGCGCCTGGTGCGGGACCCACAGAAGCCAGAGACACGGGATCAGACAAACCTGTGTGACTAGAGCTGGTTTCAGATGGATTCTCCTACCATTCCCTGCCCCTCCCCCCTTCAAGGCCTTATGTGTTGGTAAGTTGGGTTTGGCTTGGCAGTGGACACCCACACTCCCCTACTGAGAGGAGCAGAAATCACAGACATACTGTAGTAGTCTCATGGCATCTTTGGCTTTGAAACCACATATGACACATCACGCTAGCATGGATGCAGTCAACTGGAGTGTTCAAGGTTTTAACAAAAACACTGAATATTGAGTTAGTTTGAAATGCAATTTACCCAGGAATAAATCTGATAAGGTCATTTTGATAATTAAAATATGAAAAAGATAACATGTATAAGAGAACAATGATGTTCATATTCTTGAAATAAAGACAAAAGTAATGACATTTGGTTCATTTTCACAAATTGCACATGGGTAAAATCATACAGTACTGCAGACAGCTACAGACAAGCAATTTGGTCAAAGAACTTGCTTCTTTGTTTCATTGTAAATTAAAAGCTGTATGAAATGCATAGCTTTGATTAAAACTATAAACACAGATTCCCTCTCCACAGTAAAACTCCAATGTAGAATGCTGGCAAAGGCAGTGCTGGCGAGGTCGGTAATGCACAGGGAAATGCTATTCTATTTTGGCTTCCAGAAGGAGCCCTAGAAACTCCTATGCACCAATGCATTGACAAACGGTCACTTCAGTTCACCGTCAATTATTCTAAACGTCATCTAGGTACTTAAAAGTTAGTTAGCGCTCTCTCCCTTCGAGAAGCTAAGGCAGCAGATGCATGAAACACCTCAGCTAGACTGCCGACTAGCTCAGCAGTTCATCTGTGCTCCTCAGGCCACAAGGACTGCGATCTACATCCCTCACCTTACACCCACTGGGACGTTCAAGATCACTCCTGCCTATGTAAGACAGCCAACAAGGGAGAGAACATCATCACTGCGTACTGTTCCCTGCAGCAATCAAGTCTAAATGCTCCCACACTGTGGGGTCTTCAAACCCACCTCCCTGAAAACAAACTTCACTGCCGTTCTCTCGCAGAAAGCATGCTTTGTTGGCCATGACGAAGCCACTGCTGTGCTGCTCAGTTTTCATCCACGCTAGGTTACCTTTCATTTCAATCATCTCAGCCTTCATGGACTTTGCTTATTGTGTTTCTCTAGTTCTCACTAAACACAAATGCAAACAAAGGCGAAGACGGAAGCAATCATTTCAAAACACAAGAGCTCACACTAAAGACACACATGAGCATCAAATATTAAAACATGAGTGTTCTCCTGTCTTTATTCTGGGGAGGAGGAGTCTTCCTCCTCGTCCTCGTCGTCCTCCTCGTTGAATGAACAGGGTGTCTCGCCACGGGACTCGGAGCAGTGAGAGGCCGCACTGCTGGACTGCTGACTGTCTGGGCCGGGGAACTGCCCGGTTGCTAAGGCCACTTCAGCATCCAAGCACAAGCCTTGGCTTACACTAGTGAGTAAGTTGAAACACACGGATTCGTTAATGCAGTGTGGACATCTCTTTCTTTTTGCACAGACAGGAAGAAAAACAGGAAGGAGGTGCCAGTGGGCACCTAACCTAACCCACCTGCTACAGCAGCAACACCTCCCTAGCTCTCCACAGGAGAGGCAGCTCTCTGTGGCTTGCTTTTCTCACTTTGAAAACAATACATACCTTGACTGGGGCATGGTGGCATTAGTGGTCAGGTCTAGATTTGAAACTGATTGGGTAGAGTTCAAAAGGAGTCCCTGATTTAACCAAGAAGGTCCTGTCGAGATATCTGTAAGATAAAACAAACACCAAAAAAAAAAAAAAAGAAAGAAAGAAAAAGAAACTATGGGCTCTGAACTCTGTGGCTGCTCTGCTGTGGTCTGAAGCAAGCATGGGTTATGTCTTGGTATAGCTGGACAGTTCTCTTGCCCTGTGAAGAACCTAGTGCTCTTCATAATTTTGGGGGTGGGGTGGGAGCACAAATAAATTCTTGAACAAGAATGGAAAGAATACAAGAAGGCAGACTTCAGGGAGAAAGAATTTCAAGTAAAACTATCACTGCCTTTTAGTTGAAGGTTTTTTTTTTTTTCAAGACTTAGCTTATTATTTTTAAATCACGTGTATGTGTGTCTGTGAAAGCCTAAGCGGGGGGATATGTACACGAGGTGCCTCTGGAGGAAGAAGTGTTGGACTGCCCTGCCGCAGAGCTGTGAGCTGCCCAACAGGAACTGAACTTACGTCTTCCGCAAGAGCAGTATGCACTCTTAACTACTGGGCCGGCTCTCTAACCTTTGTTTTTCTTTATGTAAGACCTGACAAGGTAGCCTACTGGGTACAGTAAGCATGTGGTCAGAATGTGGACTATCTTGCACATCTGGTGTCCTTACCATGAAAGACTATGATTGTGATATTAACAGCCAAGGCCAGGATTGGACAGAGACACAACAATCAGAAATGCCTTAGAACACACGGCTTACGGATCAGGCACACACTCTTATCACCCTTTCCCCAACCTCTCACATGGTGTGCATGGATGGTGTGTGCATACATGTGTGCAGATGCGTTGCTGAGATAGGGTCTCTCTCTCTCGATAAGACTCAGGGCTTGCTGCTCAGGGCAGGCCAGCAGGCCAGCAAGCCCCAGGGCTCCTCCCATGGGTGTCCCTTGGACGGGGTATACTCCCGGAGCAGCACGCCTGGCTTTCCCAGGGCTGGAGACTGACTACAGCGCGTCACCAGCTGCACCAGCTCCGCAGCCCACGGCACTGCACTTTAGGGTCTACTCAGGTGAACTCACTACAGCTGCTCATCAGTGATCTATGGCTTGTCCTGACTAGGTTTGCCTCCGCCCCCACCTCGGGTGTCATTTGCTTTACAATTCAAAACAGTCTTATTTTAAAAGGCGTGCTTTGAATGTGGTCATTTTTATTACGCAGTCATTTTTTAAAATTTATTTTATGTGTATGGGTATTTTGCCTGCATGAGTGTCTGTGTACCAGTTTCATGCGTAGTTCCCACGGAGGCCAAAAGAAGGCATTAGATTCGTTGGAACTCAGGTTACAGCTGGTTGTAAGGTACCATGCGGGTGCTGGGAATTGAACCTGGGTCCTCTGGAAGAGCAGCCCATGCTCTTAACTCCTGAGCCATCTCCCCAGGTCTGCAATCATGGTTTGAGTAAAGGTGAGCAGACATGAGGTGTTTCAGCTCGCAGGAAACCAGAAGGGCATGTCCTGGCATCTCTCTTTCCCTGCATATGCCATGCTTCTCCCCGGGGTCACAGCAGATCAGTTCTTACTGTGCTGTCCCTTGCAGGATGCCCCCGTCTAGAATGTTGGCTCAGAGAAAACTGTAACCTGAATGTCTAGGGACCTCAGAAGGAATGAATGGACGTACATAGCGTCTTTCAACACTGACTTTTCTCTTTCAGTTTTTTGAGACAGGGTTTCCCCATGTAACAGCCCCACCTGTCCTGGAGCTCACTTGGTAGTCCAGGCTGGTCTTGAACTCACAGAGATCCACCTGCCTCTGCCTCCCAAGTGCTGGGATTAAAGGCGTGCTCCACCACACTTGGCCAACAGTGACTTTAATAGACAGTAAAAGCTTTAGAAACACAGTACTAAAAAAAGATCTCACATCACTGAGTGCTATGGGATGTCTTTCTGTATACTGTGAATGTGTGTGGCTCCCAATGGATAATATATAAAGCTGCTTTGGCCTGTGGCAAGAAAGCTTACAGCCAGGCAGGAAATCCAAGAAGATATATAAAGGGAGAGCTGGGAGAGATGGGGACCAGCCGCGCCCAAGGAGCAACAAGTGCACGCAGACCGGTAATGCCGCGGCCACATGGCAACACAGAGATTAATAGAAATGGGTTGAGTTATAAGAGCTGGCCAGCAAGGACCTCGAGCCATACAGTTTGTAATTAATATAAGCCTCTGAGTAATTATTTTATAAGCAGCTTCAGGACCATAGATAAGAGAGATTTGTCTGGACCTTGGGGCTGGGCAGGATTGGAGAAACTTCCATCTACAACTGGGCATGGTGGTGCCCACCTTTAATCCCAGCACTTGGGGTTATTGGCAGGCAGATCTCTCAGTTTGAGGGTATCCTGGTGTACAAAGCCAGGGTTACAAAGAGAAAACCTATCTTGGGGTGGGTGTGGGGGACTCACATTATAAGGCAAACCCCAATGCAGCTACTCAGAAAATAGTTTTTTTTAAATAAGCTTTTATTGTACTTTTAAATGTACACTCCCTTTCACTATTTTTATTTCTGTTGACCTGTGTGTGGCTGTCCATGCAGGAGAGGAGTGAGGACAACTTCAGCAGTTGACCCTCTCCTTCCAACACGTAGGTCCTGGAGATCAAACTCGGGTCGCCAGGCTTGGCAGGAAACACTTTACCCACCAAACCATGCTGGTAGCCCTTGAGCTTTTGTGCGTGCGTGCGTTTGTGTGAGTGAGTGTGTGTGTGTGTGTGCCATGGCATGCTTGTGGAAGTCGGTGGACTCTGGGAGCTGGTTCCCGCCCTCCAGCTGGCTGAGGCAGGGTCTCGTTTTTTGCTGTTGCACTGCCTGCTCCTCGCAGCTGCTCTGTGAACCTCTGGCCAGTCTGTCTCTGCTTCCTCACCTCCCTGCAGGAATTCCGAGATAAAGAGGCACACCACCACATACGCTTTTGCGGGTGTTTCGAGGATGAACCTCAGGTCCAGCCATGCTCCTGCCCACTCAGCCATCTCCCCACCCCCTTTATAGTACTATTTTTGTAATTACTGTGCAAAACCCATGGACCTGTATGCACTAAGAATTCTGTCTAGCCTCCGAGAGACTGTTCCTGTGTACTAAATGACTACAGTAACTTGAGATTGGCCTCCTGAGCCTTTCTCTGCACAAGCTAAGGCAGCTGTCAGAAAAAAAAAGACTTCAATTCTAAGAAGAACAGCAGATTGTGAATACATTTAATAAGAACAAGTCTGAACAAGATGAAATTAAGAGCTGGAATCCTGTGCTGAATATGAATTGGCACACAGAACTGTGGAAACTTTCTGCTGGGTCACAGCTATTCAGTTGTGAGCATTATAGACTGTATCTCCTCTCTACAATGGGTCTGAAAAGGCCACATTTCTTTCACATTATTACAGGCTCTGCACAGTGGTTCTCACACTCTTGTCCAAGGGCCATTCCCTCCCTTTCACACGAAAGGCACATGTCCCTTTGAACTGACAGGAAAATCTGTAGCCCAGTCTACAAATGAGGTCATGAAGAGATCAAACCAGAGCCTGCTAATCGCCCTGAACCTTTCTATTGGGAATAAGTGAAAAAAACTTCTGGTGATTTATTGAGTAAGCCCTTTATTCAGACACTGCTGGACTTCCAGTCCAATGAGGCTAATGAAACAGCAAGATCCGTGCCCGAGACCATGGAGCAGAGGGAGCAGGAGCAGCGCATGGGGGGTCAGCTGAGGGGGTGCAGAGGGAGCAGGGCATGGGGGGTCAGCTGAGGGGGTGCAGAGGGAG